GTCACTCCGTGGGAGAGATCAGAGGTGGGCGGGAGGTGGGAGGAGGAGAAGGCTAAAGATAGACATTCCGCGCTATTCGTGAACTAATCGGGAATGGGAAGAGGGGGAAAGCTTGATTGCATCCATTCATTAATTGTTATTGCTATGGATGAAGGATTGTCAAGCGTTGCTATCTTGGTACCGTACATATAATACGGTAGCAGTGGACTGGGGCTATGTATGAAGGATGCTTTTCCGAGGGGGAACAAGGAGCGTGTGGGTGGATGGATGGATGGATGGATCCGTGGGAGCAGGTGGATTGGGGTGGATGGGGGAGGGGTGGGAAGGACAGTGTTGCAGGGACTGACAGTCAAAGTGAATCAAACCTGGGGGCACGTGGATGCACGCTTTTTTGCATCGCCGGTACGGGGTTGAATGAGTGAATGAATGAATGGGGTTCCTATAGGTTAGCCCAAATTCCCCAAGTTTTATGATATCGTGCGCAGGTGGTGAATTGTAGTGAGTGGGGGAAAGAATCGTGGTGCTACTAGCGTGCGCCAATGCAGCAGGGAGGTGGCAATTGGCAGTGAAGGGCGGGAAGGTGGGATAGACGCGATGGTGATACCTACTTGTAACAGTATCCGAACCTCTTGTGCGAGGTTTTACAAATGATTGGTAGAATTACAGTAGTCCGGCGTGATTCCTGTTTCTGTGAGACTCGGGTGGTCAGATGGAGGAGGAGGAGGAGGAGGAGGAGGAGGAGGAGGAGGAGGAGGGAGAGACACAAAATACGATCACCATTCCGGTACGGGGGTTTGGACTACGGTAGGCCGCCGCTATGAAACGGTCATCATCGTGGTGTGTCGTTTCTGATATGCCGGACTACGATAACGGAGGTTAAAGCTGTCGTGAAGGTACGGTAATGACAACAGATCAGTGTGATGGTACGGTGTCATCCTCTGGTCTACCAGCTAGATGGTTATCATGGAATGAGGTGCTGTGTGGTGCCTCAGGCGCTCGCCGCTAATTTCAAGGTTCCCAGGTGGAAATAAGCTACCTGCCAGTCGGTGCAGTACCTGCAGTGCGCTATCGAATCCAATCCGAGTCGAATCGAATCAAGAACGAGAGTGGGTCATAGCACCACCCTAGCCATGCTAAAACAGACACACACATCATCATCACCACCATCGTTGCCGGGAGCAGAAACCAAGCTCATCAATAATCCTGCGCGTATCTTGGGTTGATTCTGCAGATGCCGGTTCACCAAGGCAGAAGCCAGACGAAATTAAACCAATCCGGCGGAGCCCATCTGCGATCCTACCTTGCACGACCCGGATGGTTTGTGTATGTACAAGTACGTAGGTATGTGTGTATGTATGTATGTATGCGGGATATGTATGTATGCATGCCCAAGCATACAAGTAAACATGATCCGAATCACATGGCACATGAATCAAGACCAGATACGGCACGATCGATACCCTTCATCTCCCACCACCACAAAATTCACAATTGCGTGCCGAGGACGGCGAGCACCTATAATCACCGAACAATATTACCGGTATACAGCATCAAACCATCACGGTACCGTGCCGGATCTGTTGTGCGGTACGAGTACCGGATAAGCCTAGCAGGGCTTGTCTATCTTTAGAAGCACAAGCCGGGCTTGTGCTAACCCGTCTTGCCCATTCCACTACCGGCACACTACCGGTACACACTACTCGTCCACGACACGCCGTGATATGGTGAAAGGCTCTGTCGCTTGGGCTAGCACATGTACTCGAGTACAGTACACTGCCCACAAGGCTAAACAAGCGAGCGACAACTGATCTCCCCTATCCCATCGGTCACGGCGATACCCCTTCTTGCACGATAAATATACATCTACCTCGGTCCCTCACGCCCACCACCCACGCTAGCAGTGGCAGTGTAAATGCTTGTTTCCACCTCTGGTCCATCTATCCCTTCCTTCCTCCCTCTCTCCCTGTCTTTCGCTCTCCCTCGAGGTATGGTTCCATGTACCTCACATAGCGCACCGCACCCATAGGTGTACGTGCGTGTTCCGAAACCACCCTGTATACCGTACCCACCGGCACCCGCTTCGTATCTCATGCGCCAATTCGCTCATTCACCTGGATAACCGCACAATAGGCAAACGTAATTGGAGCTAGTCAGAGGTGCAAGTAAAGCACTGTACGAGTAGAGTACTAGTACTGTATTGTATTTGTAGGCAAGTGAGTAAGGAGTTCCGCTTTGGTGGTGGTGGAGAGACATTGATTGTGGTTGTTATTGTTGTTATTTTTTATTTTTATTTTTTTTGGCTACTGGCAGAGCCTGTTTCGGCGCTGGGCGGGTCTGCGGAATTGTGGTGGAGGGCGTGGGGAGGAAGGGAGGGGGCGTGATTGGAGTGTTTTCGCGAGGAGGGCGCAACGATGGTCCAGTGAGTGGGTTGGGTTTGGCCGAGGAGGTGGGTACCGTGATATGGGATTCATTGTGCATTGTGGTTATGCACAAGTGCGCGGTGTTGGTGGCAGGCAGGGCACGGCGGGCGGGGAAGCTAATGGGGTTTGCCTGGGAGTGGGATCGAGTGATTCTGGTGAAGGAGGGGTTGGGATGATCCGAGGTATGCTATGATGTGAGGTGTGAGGTGTGAGGTTCATGTGAAGTCAATTACTGTACGAGGGAGGTTGAGATTGAACTCTTCCGCTGGAACTCTACTCTTCTGTAACCGTAGGGAGCACCCTACGGCACTCGAGCGAGTGCGATACAGGTACGGTACAGTACCGGTACTCCGTGCTCTCAAGGGAGAGGAAAAACAAAAAACAGGGAAGAAAAACAAAAAAACGTCGCAACCACCGCCCAGACCTGGCTGCACGGTACTTTCATCATGATTCACAAAGAATATGGTATGACAAACTTTACTTTTTCCACCCACACCCACACCCACCGATCCCATCCCACCCACCATCCATCCATCCATCCAATATCCCATCTATTTTCCCTCTTTTTCTCGCCTCTTTCCCTTCCCCTCTGTCCCTCGTTACACCGCCCCACCTAAAATAGCGATATTTCGTTCCTTTTTTTTTTTTTTTTTCCCCCTTTCCACATACACACACACAACCCGTGCGGAAGACGGTCCCCCCACCCTCTGGGGTACCTCACGGCACGATGGGCCAGATGTTCCAATTCACCCATTAGACCGGATATGCACAGTATTGTACGGTATGGCCATCCAGATGGGAACCTGCCTGCCTCGGCGAGTTCGATGGAAATTGGTTTGTCCGGTGCGGTGCGGTGCGGGTTGTGTCGGGGGGAAGGGATTGTGTATTACTCACCACAGGTATGCTACAAGTACTCGTACAATACAAGCACGGAGCGTGCTACATGGCCTTAACGGCACGGTAGTTTGGGTAGACTGCTGGCTATGGTAGTCTAGCCTTTCGTTGTACTCGAGTAAGGGGAGAGAGAGCGAGAGGGCGTCATGGTGCGTGCGTGCGTGCTTGCGTGCGGGAGAGTGAGCATGAGTGGGTTGCTTTGCTGATCATGATCATTATCGCTGTTACCGGTGCTGGTATCGTTGTTATTATTGCCGTATACGGTACCGTAATATTATTGTCGGGCATTGGATGGTTTTGGCTTCTCCGCGAGATCTGTCTGCCCTTTCGTTCTGGACCGCTTCCGAGAGGGGTGCTTCTGCCGAGGTACCGTACGGGGAACTCGTGCTTTTTGGAAAAATACCCGCGAGTAATAATCGTAGCGGTACCGTACTGCAGTGGCGGTGAAGATGGATGCTCGCAGCAAATAATAATTTCTTTACTTGCTATTATTTTATTATCATTATTTTATTATTTACTGCTGTTTTGTTGTTGTTGTTTTTCATACAAGTTTATTCTTATTATTGTTATTTTACTATTAATTTTTATTATTTATTGTATTTTATTCCGAGGTTCGCCTACGAGTACCGGTACCGTAGCGTGCGAAGCGTTTTGGGGATACGGCGTGGCACGATGGGTAAGCTCGGATAGTGGACGAGTCAAGGCTTCCCAGATTCGGGCTCGGCGGAGGAGGGATGGCATCATGGTGCCTCTGGCTCGCTCATTTAGCCAAGTTGGGTCGGGTCGGGCATGCGCCTCAGCGCGGGGGGAGGCTGGTGAAGCGAAGCCTCAAGCACGAGGATGCAATAGGAACAAGTTTTTTCCTTTCCTCTTTCCTTCCTTTTTTTTCCCTCCCCCGATCTCTCTTCTTTTTTCCTTTTATTGACACTCTCCCTTGGGTACCGCACGGGAGTCGCCGGGGGGGGTGGGATTGGCTTCTACTTTTGTGTTTCTGGGTGATGGTGGTGGCCCTGGCTTGCTCTTGTTGGTTGGCGCTAGCACTATTCAGGAGTGGAGAGTGCCTTGGGTGTCAGCCCTGTCAGAAGAGAGCGAGGAGAAGAGGGTAGGGGAAGAGGGAGGAGTGAAGGGAGGATGGATGCGATAGGCGGGTATGAATAATATTACGCTGCTGGCAGCGATGGCGTATTGGGTACCGTACGGTACTGACTGTGCTGGGTCTACTTGTACAACTGGAAGTCTCCTGAGTATGTGGGATTCTGCATCGTGGGATCTTGTCCAATCGCCCGATAGCTGGGGTACCGGTATTGGGTACGGAGTGACTGACCGGGGTGCGGAGGACGGCATGGGTGCGAAGGGGAGAGGGAAAGGGGATCAGTGAATCTTCTATCCAGCCTTTGCATGGTGCTTGTACTGTATCCCTTCCCTTACCGTACTGTGAGGGACGGTGCTGGGCTTGATTGATCTCGTGAATCTGCTACTATACTGTACTTGCGCTCGTACTGTGATCGGTAACGAAAAGGCTTATTTATTTCTATCAAGCGGTAGATCGGGGATATCCAATACCGTAGTACTTCATCCGTAACCCTTTCAGTGCTGTACTAGTACTTTGCATCGTTTGAATACTGTATCCGCGCACTGCTACTACCCTTCTCTCCTACCAAGTGCTGTACGGTACCGTACTCGAGCACTCTACTCTACTCACTACGGTACCGTAACCGTCGTCCGTGCCTCGCCCACTTGCTGCTGCGCTCACTGCGGCCTCGCCAACCCCGAGCTTTGCCTGCTCGCCCGCCTCCTGCACTCGCACAAGGGAGTGAGTGAATGGAAAGATACCGTAGTAAAGGTAGGAGCATGATTGGGAAAGGTTAGGGAGAGGAGAGGAAAAGAAAAGAACGGGAAAGAGGGAAAAAAAACAAAAACAAAAAAAAAGAGAGAGTAATGGGTGGTGGATTTGGGAGGAGGGAAAAGGAAAAAAGGAAAATGGGAAAAAAGAAAAGAAAAAAGAAAAAAGAAAGGAAAGAGGAAAATGCTCGACCCAAGAATAAGGGTTGCACACATCCTTTCCGTCCGCCAATCCAATAGCCTAGACAGACACCCACACCAACAGGAGGTTATCCCTGCCCAGCACCACCAAGTACTCGAGTAAGTACCGTACCGTACCACCTTATCCAACATAGCCCCCATCCGATATTTAAGAACCGTCACTCCTCCCGATCAACGAAATCGACCCGGGGAAAAGAGAAGAAAAAAACAAGTACAGTACAGTACGGGCTCACCGGAAGGGCTTTCTCATTTAAAAAGAAAAGGTTGAGAGCTTCTCTACGACGAAACATACGACATCTTTCAGCTTGACTCTCGTCCCCTTGATATCTCGGAAGATTGATTTGACGGAAAGAAGAGGGAGAGAGGAAGGAGAAAAAAACAAAGACAAAACATTCGAGCCTGTCAATCCAACCCTTCAGTTTCAGTTGAGTTCAGTTCAGCTGGGATATGGCCGCATCATCATCATCACAAGCACCCCCATCAGCTTCGATACCTGCCAAAGACACCACCGGAATGGCCGACTTTGTGCTCTTTGACGACGACCCTTTATATCAGGACTACCGACCCCGCTATGACAATGGTGGGTTCCCTCAATCGGGTGTGGATTCTTACGTCGCCATGCTGGAACAACCGGGTGAGGATCAGCACTCAAAGTTCTACATGCCCGAGCTACAGCCCGGGCCCACCTCCTTCGAGACCTACCCCCCATACACCTACGATGAGGTACCATTGCCCATGGGCTATGAACCCGTACCAGCTCCAGGAGTGCTGATTCACCCTCCCACTCTACCATACTCACCTCACGGTAACGTCACAGCGAGACTGGAATACCGAACACCCATTTCCCCGGCTACCTCTGCTGGCGGACTGGAAGGGAGCAGTGCTGGCTCGGAGGCCGGGAGCGCAGGGAGCCCATACCCACAGCAGATTGACGACCCGTTCGGCACGGCCTATGTTGGTACGTGACTTTCGAACTGGCGCCCCAGTCCACTGGCAGGGAACTGACAGTCAGTAGTAGATCCATCATTAATCACCATGCCTTCGCCATCCCAACAATTCGAGGACCCGGGTTCGGCCGCGTCGTCACGAGGTTCGCCGAGTTGGCATAGTGCACACTCACCCCCTCCTACCTCCAATCCTTCCTCACCCGAATTGGGAAAGCGGAGTGGGGGAAGGTTATCGCCCTTGAGGCACTACAGGACAGCACCATACCCGAGCCGGAGGTTGAGCGTTACTTCCCAGAGCTCATCTCGCAGCCATGGTTCGCCGAGCGGGTTCCCGTTGGAATTGGAGGATATGTATCCAGCGGTGACCGGTGACATGCCGCGGAGAACGCCGAGCAGCAATGGAAGTGGAACCGGGAAGGATACGCTTTGCCCAGAATGCAAGAAGTCGTTCCGGGATCTCAAGTATGGCTCCTCCGTCATTTGCTATAACGATTGACGGGCTAACATGGAGTGTCAGGGCACATCAACTTACGCATCAACTTGAACGACCGGTTAAGTGTCCCATAGCCACATGCGAGTACAGCAAGAAGGGATTTGCGAGGAAGTACGATTGCCAGCGCCATACATTAACCCACTACAAGGGCACCATGGTCTGCGGCTTCTGCCCGGGCAGCGGCTCAGCAGCAGAGAAATCCTTCAACAGAGCCGACGTCTTCAAGCGCCACCTGATGTCGGTCCACAATGTAGAGCAGACCCCACCCAACTCCCGTAAGCGTCCTCCAACAAAGACATCCCCGGCTGAGGACCGCTACGCCGGCGCCTACGTTACCGGAAAGTGCTCCACCTGCTCAATCACCTTCGCTACGGCCCAGCAGTTTTACGAGCATCTCGACGAGTGCGTGCTATCCAAGGTCGTTCAAGAGGAGCCCGCAGCAGCATTCAACGAGATGAACCTGGACAGCGTAAAGCTCTCCGACATGGAGCCTTCGTCATCAAACCCCGCAGACCATACCTCTTCCGACAGCGAGGACGAGGATGAGGACGAGAAAGACACGACCTTCAACCCCGCAACCACCAAGTCAGCCTCCAAGATCCGCACAAAAAAGGGAACCATCAAGCGCTCCGGCTCCGGTGCTGGGAGCACGCAGAGGTGACAATCAACCCACTCCCGTCCACAAGCCGGGAGTGCCAAAGCGAAGACGATCCGCCGCAAGCGCAAGAATTTCCCGGCGGGGTGGGGGTGTCAGCCTGAGCAGATGGTCACAAAGAGACGTTGCCTGATGGTGTTTGATGGGCCAAAGTTACTCTGCAGGGACGAGATGATGATGTCGAACGAGTGGGAGGTACGCGCTCAGTTGGGCGGTAGCGGCGGCAGCGACGCTTACGTTTCCGATCTGGACTTTTGGACGATGCGCCGAGCAGAGGCTTTCTTGGATGCTGCGCCCAGTCGGAATCCGCAAGGGGCTGCCGTCGGGGAGGCTAGGTAGCCCCCCCTCTCCTTGGAAAACTATGTGGAAGTGGGGAGGGGAGCTGGTGTGTCCATGGCGGGTACATTGGTATAGCGGGCGGAGTTCCGCTACATTTTGTCCCTTCCTTGCTTCCAATATACTTCTTACATTCTTGACTTGTATTCTAGTTATTTTCTTACCTTTTTTTCTTATTACTTCTCTCCATCTAGTTTTAGTATCTACTATCTATCTGTCGGTACGGGGCATTGGGGTTTCCCTTTTTTTTTTCTTCTTTTTTTTTTTTTCCTTTCCTTCACCCGTCACTTTAGCACGCAGGAGAAGGCGGGGGCTGCTTGGATGGCCGTGGATTTTTATTTTTTTCCGCCCCTCATCTATTTATTCCCTTGACGAGGTTATGCTTTTATGCATGTTATGCTATCGATTGATTGATTGATTGATTGATTGAATGTTATGGGAATTGTCATCATGTCCGGAATAAGCGAATTGTGTTTTTTGGTTTGATTTAATTCTTTTTGGTTTGATTGTGCTGCCAGGTGTTTTCGGGGTATGTGGATGGTATTGGTGGGGTTTGGATTTTATTTTATTTGGGTAGCTTGGGGCGAATTGGATTGAATTGACTGAATTGGTCGGATTGAAGTGAATTGAAGTTGGGTTGTTTGTGTCGTATCCTAATTACTGAGTTCCAGTTTTTGTGTCTTGGGTTTACTTCGCTGGTCTAGGCCGGTCGAGACTTTGGGGAACCCCCTGGTTCATTGCCGAGCTTTCCGCTACGCTGTTGAGTTGTTAAATTTCCAAAAGACAGGCATGTCATACCGCTCTGGTAGCTCAGGGGTTAGAGCATGCGATTGCAGATCGCAGGGTCGATCGTTCGAATCGGTCTCAGAGCTTTTTTTTTGGTTCCTTTTTTCTTGTTTCCCCACTCTACTTCTTATATCCTATCCTCCACATCCCTCCTCCCCTCCTTGCAATGGCCATTCCCTCTCTTTTTTATTTTTATTTTTTAAATCTGAATGAGTCCTTTTCCTTTGGCGGTCTTTGGGTACAAGCATGGCATGCCCTGGCAACGGGACTTGCCGACGGCTGTAATGCAGTGAGTGGTCATGGGAGTCAGGCTCGGGGGCGATTTGGCCGATGGAGCTTGTTGGCTCGGAATGGGAATGGGATGGGGGAATGGGATGGATGTGGTGAGATTGCGGGCTAAAAAGGGTTTGGCTTTCGATTCTGCTTTCGCGGCCATTGAGGGGGGGAGTGGAGCACGGTTGAGGAATGGATGTTTACGTGTGCTACCTGTTTAGTAGCAGTGCCCGGAATGCTTGCTTTTTCATTTCATTTTCCTTTTCTTTTCATTTCATTTCTTTCTTTCTTTCTTTCTTCTTTCTTTCTTTCTTCTGGCGGGGTAATTGGATATGGTGCTGTGAGCCTGAGCCAACAAGTTGTGTATAATTATTATATTATATTACTCTTTGGTGCAAGTTTTTTTGGAACGGTTATGATATACTCGTTCGATGTTGAGCTTTATCGTGCTCACTTGCTCTCCTTTCCTCTCCCTCTACCCCCCCCTCCCCCTCCTCTCTATACACACATATGCAATGAGGGGCTGTTATTATTCCAGCCCTACGATCATCTACCGGCCGTGTGTGTGATTGAACGATCGGACGGCGGCAGATGGCTGGACAATTCAATTGGCTCCCTAAGGTGCTCGTTCACTTAATCACTCACTTACTCGCTCACTTGTATTCATCCTACATGCCTGGCGGAGCATCCTGACTCCTTTTTCACCTTTCTTTTTTCCCCCTCTCTTTTCACCTTTTTTATATTTTTTTATTACCCTTTTTATTCATGTGGTGTTTGGTAGATACTCCCCCCCCCGCCAATACATAAAAACATATCTACCTACCTACCTACCTACCTACCTACCTACCTACCTACCTACCTACCTACCTACATACCTACATACCTACATACATACCTGCAGTCAGATTTTTGCTTTTCTCTCTCCCGCACATTTCCCTCAAAGGACGGGCTTTTTCTGGTGTCTGTCTGTCTGTCTGGGGAGAATACTTTGCCGTTTTATCGCTGGCCGTGCTGTGTGCATGCATGTAGGATGACATGCGCGGGAGGAGGGAGAGATACAATGATGATCCACCCAGCGAAATGGAATTGGGGAGGGGGAGAAAAGTGCCGCAGCGTAGGGCTGCAGGTGAGTGCGCCTTGCCGTAATCGATCGATTCGTGCTTCTGTCTGTTATATATCTTTGTGCTATCGTGTGGAGGGGAGGGGAGGGGTTACTCCGATGCTATCTATCTGTAACTGGTGGTGTGCTGTTGGTGGCGATACTGTGTATCGGCGGTGTCATATGTGTTATGGCATGATCAGATGATGGGCGGAGTCTGTGAGGTGTTTTTCATAGAGGAGGTGATGGCGGTTATGAGTTGAGTTGAGTTTTTTCTTTTTTCTTTTTTTTTACTTGCTCACTGTTGTGGACTGCACGAGATAATTGTGGCTTGCAGAGGGGAAGTTTGTTCTTTTTTGATCACTGGCGGGGGTTGCGATGGCTGACTGGGGGATGAGAGAGGCCTTTAGAGGGTTCCAGAAGCTTGCGGGAAAAAGTAGAGGCGGGGGATAATGGGGTTTTGTCTGATGGATGAGGGATGGGTGCCGAGTGAGATATCATGACGCTACAACTAGATGCTCTGCCCAAGTAAGGATAAATATAGTTATCATTAAGATCGCATTGTGATTGGGGGCGGTTGGAAATGAGAGATTGTGCGATGCAACGTTTATAGACGCGAGGCTGGCACAGTCAGGCACCAATTGGCGCTTCCCCATCTCAGGTTGTCCCAGAGTAGCAATAATTTCATGGGAATTAGCCCCAACTATTCTTCCTGTGATTAGTGCTTCCATGGCCCGGCGCCGGGCCTGGCCGGGATAACATGGGACCACTGTAATGGCACAGCGAGTGGCTCAAACTAGGAAAAGGGCTCCTCTGGTCGCTAGGATTCCATTTCTCCGGATAATGATACCGGAATCGCAGTTCGGGAGAATAGAAATGCGAGCGCCAGGGGCGAGCGTTCCCCGCGGTGGCGGTCCGGTCACATTGTTTTTTGTTTTTTTTGGCCCGGGACGCGATATGTGGACATGCATGTACTGTACTCATATAAAGTGCTAGGACAAATCTTTTCATCTGATTGGTGGTTACTAAGCAAACCCACAAAAAAACCCACCTCAACAATCAACCACTCCTTAACGACTATGCCTCAGGAAAAGACTGGCCACCTTACAGAGTTTGAGAATGGGCAAATTTTGCTCTGAGAAAAAAAAGTCTCTTTTTCTAAGATTGGGAATCTCTTAAATCATTCCAAAAGTACAGTCCTTAGTTTCTACATCCAGTATCAAAAGAGATGTGATAAGAAAAACCTTCCTATGCCTGGCAGACACAAAATTATCAATACCAGAATCTGCTGCCACCTAGTCAGACAGTCCAAGAAGGCACACTGCTAGTCTTTATCAGAATTGCATAATAAGATTACCCCTCAAGCCTCTGTGAAGACAATCAAAAGAGCTTTACCCTCTGTCAATATGAAGAAGTAGAGGGCTAGAAAAAGAGCATTGTTAAAGAATGAACATGCTATCAAGAGATTAGCTTGGGTGAAGGAGTATAAGTATTGGATAAAGGAGGAGTTTGAAGATATCATCTTTCGTGATGAATTGTTAAGAATCCTACCGGCCTGGCCGCTGGGGTGCGACAGGTAACAATTCTTAGTTTGTAGCGAGATAACAGTTCTTAGGCTGTTGCCTACGTGATACTGATAGTCAAGTTCTTTTGACTTCTATCTTATCACGCCTATTCCTCTAATCTTCTTAAGGGCTCGTTAGGACTTAATCATTCAATGTGGAAAGAGACAGTTTTCACTCTCTTGGGAGGAAAGACAATTCTTGGGTCTCTTAAGATAAATCTGAAAGAGCGTAAAGGGAGTTTTTATAATAACTTAAAGGTAGGAAATAAACAAGAAGAACGTGTGAAGAGCTTATACTTGGAGTCCTAGAGACCCTTTATATAGTCACTCTTCACCTGGCATGACTCATACCTTGTATCATGTAAACCCCGTGACTCATAACTATGAGTTATGCGAAATCCATCAGCTGACTCCTATGAGTCGCTGCGCAACATTCCTAAAACCAATCAAAACATAATAACCTATCATGCACTAGTGTGCGTCATGTGAAATCCCAATATACCAATAGCTCGGAATCCTGAGCTATGTGAAATCTGCCTTGCTTAGTCACAGTTTGTGACATTAGCTCCCCTCTCCCTCAGCCCAGGTCCGTTCGGGCTTCATTCGTTCCACCATCCTCCATAATGGTTTCTCCAGCTATTTTCTCTGTGGTAGTAGCTGCGATTAACCCTGCAGACCGCTCACGCAGTCCTATCCAAATGTCTCTGAGCCTCTTCCGCCTGGCTCTTCAACTCTCTTTCCAATGCGCTTGTCGCTTCTCTTTCTTTCGCCAGCTGTCTCTCGAGTTGACTTACCCTCAACTTTGTTTCTCTCTTCATTGCCTCTAGCAACACTTGTATTAGCCGAAGGTCTTTTTCCAGCTCTGCTATCACCGCCTGCTGATCTTCTGCCTGAGGCAACCTCGGTGTAGCTTCTTCCATCTGTTTCTGCCAAGATACCTTTTTGGCTCTCTTTGTCTTGGGCCATTTGAATTTTTGGGCCCTCCTCCTCCTTGACTCCATCCTCGGAGTCAGTTTGATGTACTGTACCAGACCCACTGGCTCTGGGGTCAGGGATCTTGCAGGTGATCCTAGGGGTGAAGTCGTAGGTGGCTATCGGTTTACTTCCTGAGGCCAATATCCTGAGCCTTCTTTCCAGCTTTTATACACTTGGCACTCGTCATTGTAGCATCCTGTCCATGACAGGTTCACGTATTCTCTTTCAGGTGTCGGGGTTCTTGACAGGGGTAAATCTACCAGATTTACCCAGTCTTCATCTGTGGGTTCTTCCTTGACTGGT